TAGTAAAAAATAAAAGACAATTTTGCTGAGTATGGAAAAATTGCTTGACGGTTTTTTCTGGTGTGGAGTGTGCCGTCCTTTGTCTCTGGCCTCCATACTCCTGTTGAGAGGTTGGGTGTGAGACTTACTGGGGTTCTGTTACTCCCGTTGCTCTCAGGGTTTTCTCTTCAGCCTTGCCTTTCAGTGTTCTGATTGTGGTGTGTCAGCTCCTAGAAGCCACTCCATCCCTGTCACGTGACATCTGTGGACTCTCTCTCTCTCTCTCTCTCTCTCTCTCTCTTTTTTTTTTCCCGATGGTACTGGGGTTTGAACTCAGGGCCTCACACTTGCTAGGCAGGAGCTCTTCCACTTGAGCCACTCTGCCAGCACATGGAATTTCTGTCATGCCTTGAATCTCTTTGCCAGGAAGAGATTTGTCCTTTGAAGGGCTCAGACACACCCAAGATAATCTGCCTTTATCACTTGGCTGTGTTAATAACATGACCTGATCTTGGGTAGTCATTATCACAGCCCTGGGGATTGTCAGGGCACATGCAGCAGGGAGACATGGGGCCTTCTTGGCATTCTACCTATCGTTGTCCACCTCTGGGTCTCAGAGTGTCTGAGTTGGGGCATTCCTGAGCCTGTCATTCTTTTGGGGTAAAATTTCTAGTACTGTCAAGAATATTTTACATTCCTTGAGGTTGGGATTACTTCCTAATTATAATTATTTTAATTACATCACTACATCTCTGTTGAGTACAGTAACCTAGTCTCCCACAGTATGGCTCTCAGGCCACTGAGAGCTGCACCCACACCCCTGTCATCACAGGAGAAGACTAGGGCCAGGGTTCCTCCCAGGGAAATCCCAGGAGAACCCATAAATGAACAAGCAGAAACTGCACTCATTAAGCAAGCAGCAAGGAAATGATGATGTGAACTAAATAATAAGAGAAAAGGCCACAAAGTAAAGTGACCACATAGACATAACCTACTAAATGACAGTGAGTAAAAGAAGAAAGTCCCTTATATGATATAAAACATCTCTGGTGGTGGTTCTGCTGCCCGGGGAATCTCCTGCCCTCAGGCCCAGGTGTTCAGCCTCTGATGGGCCTCCCTGCTGCCTGCCTCCCCCTTCCTTTGTTGTGCCCCCCTGTCAGGCCAGTCCACCTTGGGGAGATACCAATGCTTCCTGGTCCATCTCTTTGCCTGACCCACCCTGGTCAGTGTTGTCCAGCTTCTGCTATTGTTGGGTGAGAAATGCCCCTACCCTTGCAGGGCAGCTTGAATGTCCACCTTCTCTGACCCCTTCAGAGGCTGCACAACTCTGGCTGCCCAGAGACCATACCTAGTTGCCCAGGTCTATATCTTGGCACAGAAGCCAGGAGGCTGCAGCCAGTGGACAGTGAGTATCCAGATAGATAGTGGGGATGCCTGAATCCCATGTACACCCTTCCCCTGTGACACATCTAATCCAGGATGGGACAAAGAAGCCCCTGTCTTCCAGGAGGGTCTTCCTGGAGGGATCAGAAGCTCGTGGCCTGTCTGGTGGTCCATGCCTCAGGGCCAGAACTCAGAGGCCAAGTGAACCCCTCTGTTGGCAGTTAAGATGGTCAGACCTTGGCCCCGAAGCCCCGGAATGCAGGGGCAGGGCAGCCACTGACCTCACAATGATAGGATCTGCTGTCCCTGGCCAGCCCGGTGCCAGCTGTCACGCTGTGCTGCTGGGCATGTCCCTCCTCAGCAGCTATGAGGGCCTGCGGCAGGAGATCCAGCGGCTGGCACAGGAGAACGAGGAGCTGCGTCGGCTGGTGCAGCTCATCCAGGAGAACCAAGAGCTGAAGCTGGTGCTCAGGAACAGGGGCACTAGCCTGAGTTTCTGTAGCTCTGGCTTCCTGACAGAGGTGACGTCTGGTCCCCGGGCACCCAGGCGCAGAACCTTTAAATTCAAGGATGCTGACAGAGGTGAGAAGCTTCAGCCCACAGACCTCATTCAACTCCTGCCAAGACAGAGACAAAAGCCCTGCCAGGCCTCAGATGCTGCAGGTGGTGGAGGGATATGGAGCAAGGCCAGGGTGGGGTGGCGTGGGGAAACTTTTCAGGAAGCCCATGCAGCAGGGAGGAGGTGACATCTCTGAGAAAGTGACATCTGAGCAGAGCTGCAGTGGAGTGACCTGCAGCTGGGGGACAGTCTTACTTTCTTTCTTTTTGGTGGTACTAAGTTTTGAACTCAGGGCCTTGCTTGCTGGGAAAGTGCTATACCACTTGAATCATGCCTCCAGCCCTTGGGGAATGGCTTTCCGGGCTAAAGAAACAGTTGGCTTCAAGGTCAGCATCGGATGCAGAAAGCAGAGGGGACCAGGAGGGCCTTGTAGGGCAGAGGGAACCTGAGGGCAGGAGGCCCCTGGCCCTGTGTGCTCTGGGCTTCTTGAGTTGATGGGCTGGGGAATATCCCCACTCCTGGGCAGAACGAACAGAAGCTTGGTCAGGGTGGTGCTATGAAAAAATATCCAGGCTCAGGATTTACATTTTGAAAGTCACAGTAGCAGGAATTCTGGCAGACTGGGCACCTTCCAGATGAGAAGGAGAGATGTGAGGCCACTGGTGGGTTTGGGCTCCACTCTGGAAAGGGGAGCTGCTCCTGGAATGGATACACAGGGAGGTGACCATAGACCTCCAGGGATCAGATGCTGTGTTTTGCGAAGGGTCTGGCCTTGCAGAGCCCAGAGGAGACTAAAGTAATTAAATGGGTGAGTCCCGTCAGGCATGGCACTGTTTTTCACCCCTGCTTGGGACTGTACAACACTACCAGGAGGGAGCATGTGACTACAGATGGGGACTGTATGGGGATGATAGACATCCCCATACTCAAGTCAAGAGATGAAGAAGAGTTAGGCAGGCTGACACAGGGCTGCAAGAGGGGACCAAGCACTGGGTCTTCCAGGTCCTTGTTGGTCTGCCTTGGAGCAGCTCTGGTAGATGGAGCGGGGTTAGGAGACACCTGGGAGGTGAACAGAGGTGGAGGTGGGCACCCTGAGGGAGGTATGTCCCTGGGAGGAGCAGGGAAGCTGGGGTGCTGCTGGAAGGCTGGAGGAACAGGGCCCATAGAGGATGGGCTTGTGACCTGACAGGAACCACCCCTGGGTATAAATGGGGTAGCTGGGGTGATGCCTGTGGGCAGTAAGAGGACTTGTGGTGCAGAGCACAGGTTGGTAGCTCAGGAGAGTTCGTGACAGCAGGTGGTGGTGGGTGTGAGTGGGATTTTTCTTCTGACGGATCCTAGGCTGAATAGGATGGGGTGCCTGTCAAGGCTGGATGGAAATGGGAAGGAACACAGTCCCCCAATGGGTGTGAGGGAGTGTGTGCACTGGTTGCTGTGGGAGGCTGCCTCAGTGTCCTGGAATGAAGTGGGCCTTGACCAGAGCTGCTTCCCACTGCTGCTCAGGGCAGGCAGAAGTGGGGCTCCTGCATCTTGACTGTGCTGTGCTGGTCTAGGGCCCCTGCTAGGCACTAGGGTAGGGAAGGCAGTAGGGAGGTCGGTGGGCTAGGGGTCTGGCAGCAGCACCGTGGGGGTGCGTGGTGTCTGGACAAGGCCAGCAGCCCATCTCCAGGGGAGTAGGTCCTGTGTGCCTGCTGCTGCGCCCAATTCCTGACTGCTGGGTAGCTGGAGTCCTTCATGTGGCCCAAGAAGATCTGAAGGGATAGGGGACCCAGTGAAATGTGTCTGGGATAGACTAGGACACCAAGAGCAGCCCACAAAGGGGTCAAAAGCTTGGGCTGTAGAGGAAGCCTCAAGGCAAGGTTAGAGGGCATGAAATGGGGTCAGGTGCACAGCATTGCTCTGAGCCTATCAGATCTCATGTGCCTGTCTTCTTGTGTCAACTTGGACCAGGCAGTGGGTCCAGTTTTTAAAAAACTACCTCTTTTTTTACTCCCAACCTGCACTCGAATCTCACATCACACAGGGGAGGACACCCAGGCTGCCAGAGGGCACTAGGCAGCTGGGAGCCCTGTTGCAGCCTGGAGTGCCGTCCAGAACTCACTACTTCCGACACACAGCAAGCCCACCTTTGTCCTGATCTCCCAAGCCAAAGGAGACTCCAAGGGCCAACTAGGCTCACTGGGTGAGGTTGGGGGAGACCCCAGCCTGTCTGACATCTGTCTGGCATCTCCCCTGGGCTCAGCTGACCTCCTCTGGGGGCTGCCTTTGTAGGGCAGCACCACCCCCTTCCAGGGTTGGGCCAGTGCCTCCCACACCCAGCCTCCTCCAACCCAGCCTACATGGCTCACAGGATGAGGGCTCCGGTGGGGCTAATCCCCAGTCCAGCCCCCCACTCCAGTTAGAAGAATAGAGCTGAGGCTTCCTTGAATCTGTCTTAGCAAGTCTTGGGGTGCTGGCCTAGGAGCTGGGGCCATCAGGGGAGGATCTGCTTTTCTGGGGGCTTAAACCCCACTAAGTAACAGAAAAAAAAAAAAACCTCAAAATAAGAAACCAGCCCTGACTTCTTTCTGCCCTCTTCGCCTGCTGTTCTCTTTGGGAGACTCCTCCCTCAGCCCATATTCTCCACCCACCCCCACGCGCTGGAGGTGGGGGCAAGCTGTGTCCACCTCAGCCTTGGGCAGACGCACAGCCGGCACCAGTAGGGAAACTACCTGGTCCTCACGGTGTGAACCCCTTGACCCTCTGGCCCGTGGAAGGGCGGTGGAGGGGGGGAGAGGGGACACATCAGCTCCAGGTGTGTGGGAGTCTCACTCCAGAGGGGACCTCAGCTTCAGGTATTCTGGGGTCTGGCCGCTTGGAGGCTCATCTCCTATGGGGTTGGCTGTAGGGAGTGTGTAGAGGGGCCCCTGTCCACAGCGCCAGCGCGCACTCGGGGTGCGTGCTGCTTGGGGCCATAGCCCCCTACGGTTTCTCTTCATTCCTCTCCGGTTGCTGCAGGCTCCGTTTCCCCGCCCCTGGGCCGTGCGGGCCAGGCAGTGCCAGAGCACTTCAGGGCTGTTACTTTGGGGAACAGTCACATTGCTCCGGGGTACCTGGAGGATCCAGCGCCTGCGCAAGGGCCCCGGCGGCTCACAGAGCCAAGGTGCCCTTGAGCCAAGCGCTGGGTCGGCCCCCAGCTGGCTTGGCCACTGGCCCCTGCAGTCTTTGCGATTGCTCGGGGCGAGGAAGGAGGCGCTCGGGACAGGCCGGGACTTACGCAACCGAGAGAGCTGGACACGCCGGGACCAGTCGTGCGGGGGGCGGAGCCTAGGTGCGGGGAGGGCGCGCGGGGAGCGCAGCGGGCGCAGACCACGAGCAAGTCGGAGCCGACCGGCAGGTGGGCCCTGCGCGGGATCTTTGCCCCTCTCTGTGCTCGCCTTCCCCTCTCCCTTCCCCGGTCCCGCTCCTCGTCTCCCGGGCCTGGCCCCGCCCCGGCATTGCAAAGGCTCTGCCGAGCACAGCGGCCCGAAAGGCCTTGGCTGGTGAGGTTGAGCAAAGCGGAAGTGGGGGTCCCCTCACCTGCCAGACCTAACTCTGGTGCCTCTTCATGCGAAAAGAACACCAACACCCCCAGCTCAAGGGCACTGGGGTCCAGCGGCGCCTTCATCTCTGCTCCAGACCCCGGTCGTCAATCCCTACCAGGGCTCTGGAACCCGGGTGATTGGGAGCACTGGGCTGACAGACCTGGCTCCACTCAGCTGCCCTGTGAACTGGATTCTGCAGTTCTGGCCTCCGCCAAGGGTTGCACAGTGGCTCTTCCCCAGGGCCCCTCCTTCTTCCCGTACCAAGCCTCTGCTCAGAGATCGGTCCCACCAGCATGACCCCCAGGCCTCCCTGCTGATGGGCTCCTCTCTCCAGTTCTCCCAGGGCTGCCAGCTGAAGAGCCACTGCTGGACTCCAGCCACACTGTCATGGGTAGTCCGGAGGGGCGTTTCCACTTTGCCATCGACCGTGGAGGCACCTTCACTGATGTCTTTGCGCAATGTCCAGGAGGGCATGTGCGGGTCCTGAAGCTGCTGTCAGAGGACCCTGCCAACTATGCGGACGCACCTACAGAGGGCATCCGTCGCATCCTGGAGCAGGTGGGCCAGGGCTGAGCAGGTGGGTCAGGGTGGAGCAGATGGGTTTAGAGGGGCCCCAGCCTCAGGCCTGAAACTGACTATGTGGTCCCCAGGAGGGAGGCATGCTGTTGCCCCGAGACCAGCCGCTGGACACCAGTCGCATTGCCAGTATCCGTATGGGCACCACAGTGGCCACCAATGCCCTGCTGGAGCGACGGGGGGAACGGGTGGCATTATTGGTGACTCGTGGCTTCCGAGACCTGCTGCATATTGGTACCCAGGCTCGTGCAGACCTCTTTGACCTGGTGAGCTCTCCCACACCACCTGGATGCTGAGTAGTGCGGCTCAACCCTCCGGGGTTGCCACAGCCCTTTGGTGTGAAAAGTCGGTAGAAGGAACGCTGATGCCCAAGTCCACCAGCCGATAGGCAGAAAGGAGGCTCTGGACGCTGTCCCTTGCCCCGACAAGGGCACGTGATGCCCAGCTCCTGCTGTCACCATGCCCTGTCCTGAACCCTGCAAGCCTAAGCCAGTCATGTTCAGGGTGAGGGTGGAGCCCCAGCCCCACTGTTGAGCTCCTGGAAGCCGCCCTTCTGGAGGCAGGACAACTGGCCTCATTCCACTCAGATGCCTGGGAGCTGAGAGCCACCCCCTGGATGGGCCTTGCTGGGCTGTCTGCCTCCTGGCTTGCCCACTGGCCTGTTGGGACATATTCCCTCGCCTGAACTGCCCCACCCATGCAGGACTCCTCAGGAACCTCAGGCCTGAGTCTCCTCTGAGCCTCTGCCCACCCCCAGGCCGTGCCCATGCCAGAGATGCTATATGAGGATGTGGTGGAAGTGGAAGAGCGTGTTGTGCTGTACCGTGGAGAGCCAGGTGCCCGGTCTCCTGTCAAAGGTATGGGTGCCTGCTTAGCGTGTGCAAGGCCCTGGGAAAAAATTGTTGGGCTTGGTGCTGTATACATGGAATCCCAGTACAGTACTCAAGATGCTGAGGCAGGAGGCTCTAGAGCGCTAGGCCAGCCTGAGAAACCCTGTCCGAACCCCTCTTCAGAAAAAGGACGGGTCCCCCAGTGGCTATGCGGTGCGGTCTGGGATGGGCAGATCCTGATGGCTCTTGGCTGGGCTCCTCTAGGCCGTACAGGGGACCTGCTGGAGGTGCAGCAGCCCGTGGACCTGGGGGCCCTGCGTGGGAAGCTGGAGGGACTCCTGTCGCGGGGTATCCGCAGCCTTGCCGTGGTGCTCATGCACTCGTACACGTGAGTGAGGGTCACCAGCTGGGGCTGGAAGGCTGTGAGCCTCAATGGGAGGCACAGGGCCTTGGTGGGAGGCGCAGTGGCCCTGGGTTCTCGTTGTAGGTGGGCCCAGCACGAGCAGCAGGTGGGCACGCTGGCCCGAGAGCTGGGGTTCACACACGTGTCCCTGTCCTCGGAGGCCATGCCCATGGTACGCATTGTTCCTCGTGGACACACAGCCTGTGCCGACGCCTACCTCACTCCCACGATCCAGCGCTACGTGCAAGGCTTCCGCCGCGGCTTCCAGGGCCAGCTCAAGGTGAGAGTCCCTGATGGCCTGCTCCTGGCCCTGGACCTGTACCTGCTTATTCCTTCACTGCCTGCCCACCCTTGTCCACAGGATGTGCAGATGCTCTTCATGCGTTCTGATGGTGGCCTGGCACCCATGGATGCCTTCAGTGGCTCCCGTGCTGTGCTGTCTGGCCCTGCTGGTGGTGTCGTTGGCTACTCAGCAACTACCTACCAGCTGGAGGGCAGTCAGCCTGTCATTGGCTTCGACATGGGAGGTATGGAAGCTGAAGGGAGGATCTGGGGGGAGGTTCAGCTTCCAGGCTGGGTGAAGCTGGGCATGCGGGTCTCTGAGTGACTCCCAGTAACCTATCCTCTCATCAGGCACATCCACAGATGTGAGCCGGTATGCTGGGGAATTTGAGCATGTCTTTGAGGCCAGCACAGCTGGTGTCACCCTCCAGGCCCCCCAGCTGGACATCAATACGGTGGCAGCCGGTGGGGGTTCCCGCCTGTTCTTCAGGTTAGCTCCCACCCCTCTAGCTGGGACTCCCCAGCCCTTCTTCCCACCCCATCTCCAATTCCAGTCCTCCATCTCCCAAGGTCTGGCCTCTTTGCAGTTGGGCCTGAGTCAGCAGGTGCCCACCCAGGCCCCGCCTGCTACCGCAAAGGTAAGAGCTAGCATCTGCCCCTGCCAGGCCTCCCCTCCTCGTGCTGCTCTAGGCCCGCGCCACCCATTTAACCCCATCCCTGCCGCCCATTCCTGTCCCCCTGCCTTGAGCGACCCCCATACTGTGCCTACCTCCCAGGGGGCCCTGTGACAGTGACGGATGCTAATCTGGTCCTGGGTCGCCTGCTGCCTGCCTCCTTCCCCTGCATTTTTGGGCCGGGAGAGGACCAGCCACTGTCCCCGGAAGCTTCTCGCAAAGCCCTAGAAGCGGTGGCCACTGAGGTCAACAGCTTCCTGGCCAATGGCCCCTGCCCGGCCTCCCCACTGAGCCTGGAGGAGGTGGCCATGGGGTTCATACGTGTGGCCAATGAGGCTATGTGCCGGCCCATCCGTGCTCTCACGCAGGTAGGCCCACCTGTGCCCACCCTCCACTGTCTGTCACACCTGAGCCCTGCCCCTGCATTCACGCCGCCTTCCCAGTCAGCCCAACGGGTGAGAGGTGGGGGGCTGGCCAGAGCCAGTGGGTAAAGAGGCCACTGGCCTTTTCTGAATCCCTAGGCACGAGGCCATGACCCCTCAGCCCACGTGCTGGCTTGCTTTGGGGGAGCTGGCGGGCAGCATGCATGTGCCATCGCCCGGGCTCTGGGCATGGACACCGTGCATATTCACAGGTGGGTCCGGATGTGGGTGCACTGGTGGGCTAGGAGAGTGGCTGTGGGAGGTAATCGTCGCTGCTGTACCATCCCTGTCCCTGCAGGCACAGTGGACTGCTGTCAGCACTAGGGCTGGCCCTAGCAGATGTGGTTCACGAAGCACAGGAGCCCTGCTCCCTGTCCTACACCCCTGAAACCTGCATGCAGCTGGACCAGAGGCTGACCCGCCTGGAGGAGCAGTGTGTGGAAGCCTTGCGGGCCCAAGGCTTTCCCAGGTGGGCTCCTGGGCTGCTGGGCAGAGGCTTTGCATCGTCCCCACCACGCTCTTGGCCTGGCTACTGCCTGATGTCTTCCCAGAGGGTTCTGGGGCTCTTCAGACAGTGGTCAGGGAGGACCTGTGGACTTCAAGTGCAGGACGGGCATCGTCAGGAGCACTGGATGAGTGCCCCCACCTGCCTGCTGCAGGTCCCAGATCAGCACTGAGAGCTTCCTGCACCTGCGTTACCAGGGCACCGACTGTGCCTTGATGGTGTCTGCCCACCAGCACCCAGCCACGGCCCACTCGCCCCGTGCTGGCGACTTTGGGGCAGCCTTCGTGGAGAGGTATATGAGTCCTCCTCCCGGGAACCAGGTGGGTGGCCTGCTGGTCTGGCTGCCTCACCCTGACTGTTCCTTTGGGTGGGGTGCAGGTATATGAGAGAGTTTGGCTTTGTCATTCCTGAGCGGCCAGTGGTGGTGGATGACGTGCGGGTGAGGGGCACTGGCCGCAGTGGTCTTCGGCTGGAAGATGCTCCCAAAGCCCAGACTGGGCCTCCCCGGGTAGACAAGGTTGGTGGCTCTGCCCATGCTGATCCACCCACATCCATGGGACCTGGGGACAAGTGTTTATGGGGGAGGCAAAGCTGTATTGAGGGGCCCGCTCACCCCACACCCTCTGCAGGTTACCCAGTGCTACTTCGAGGGGGGTTACCAGGAGACCCCTGTGTACCTGTTAGGAGAGCTGGGCTATGGGCATCAGCTCCAGGGGCCCTGTCTCATCATCGACAGCAACAGGTGGGCTGAAGCCTGGCATGGGTGGAGCCCTGGATGGGTGAACTGTTGGGGCCTCATGTGGAGTTCTCTGGCCCAAGGCTGGGGCCTAAGGGACTTGGGGTCCCATCATTGGGGTGTCTTCTGGCCTGGGGATGTGGGGTCTCTGGTTGGGAGGGGGTTCTGGCCTGGCCCCTTATGGCTCTTCTGTACCTGCTGCCCCCAGCACCATCCTTGTGGAGCCAGGTTGCCAGGCAGAGGTGACTGAGACGGGGGACATCCGCATCTCTGTTGGGGCTGAGGCCCCCAGCACAGCAGGCACCAAGCTTGATCCCATCCAGCTGTCCATCTTCTCACACCGCTTCATGAGCATCGCTGGTGAGTGGCCATTGCTATCTTCCCTGCAGGCCTGGCTGCTACTGGTGTGGGACATGGTGTCTCTGTATACCACACAAGGCCAGGCACAGACTGACAGCATTGGCTCTTATCATATGTGATGGACTGGCAGGTGTGTGCCAAAGGGAAGGACAGGATTCCTGGCGACAGGTGGGCATTGTGGCCTTGGCCTTTGGATGGTGTCCCCTGCTGCAAGGGCTGGTCTCCTTGGGCTGGGCAAGCACCTTTTTTTCTCTCATTAGGAGCTGTGGGAGCTGCAGATACTCAGGGACAGAACACTGAGGCCAGCATAGTGATGGCTATGGGCCTTCCAGAGCCCAGGGATTTATGTGCTGGGGACCAGGTTACTGCTGGGCCAGGCAGGGCAGAAGGTTGAGGGGAGGTCCTGTGTTCTTGATGGGACTCCAGGCAGGCTGAGGAGGAAGGTGATACCCATCACACAGGCCAAGACACACCTGACTACAGCTTTACCACCCAAGTGGGCATGCTGTCACCTGGTCTTCCCGAGGACACAGAAAAAGCTGCTGGCTCCTGGGTTTGGACTGTAGGGCTCCTGTACCTCCTTTTCCTGGGACCATGCATATGGGTGGTGAGGCCAGCGGGTGCCTGGTCACTCTGTACCCCCAGAACAGATGGGTCGCATCCTGCAGCGCACCGCCATCTCCACCAACATCAAGGAACGCCTCGACTTTTCCTGTGCCCTTTTTGGACCCGATGGGGGTTTGGTCTCCAATGCCCCCCACATCCCTGTGCATCTGGGTGCCATGCAGGAGACTGTGCAGTTCCAGGTGCAGTGAGAACCTCCTCATACCCCCACCCCTGCACTTGTGCCTGCTCTCCTTCCCTACTCTGCATCCGTCTCCTGGTTTCAGATCCAGCACTTGGGGGCTGACCTCCACCCTGGTGACGTACTGCTCAGCAACCACCCCAGTGCGGGGGGCAGCCATCTTCCAGACTTAACTGTCATTACTCCGGTGAGGGGGTGCTGCCTAGGTACCTTTGGGGGCATAGAGGTGGCTGACACAACTGACCATTGCTCTCCCCCAACTAGGTGTTTTGGCCAGGTCAGGCTCGGCCTGTGTTCTATGTGGCCAGCCGAGGGCACCATGCTGACATTGGGGGTATCACACCAGGCTCCATGCCCCCTCACTCCACCACGCTGCAACAGGAGGGTGCTGTCTTTCTGTCCTTCAAACTGGTCCAGGGGGGTGTCTTCCAGGAAGAAGGTGAGTGGGAGTGGGGCCACAGTGAGGGTTCAGCAGGCTGGGATGCACTGCTGCTGAGAACCAGGCTGAGCAGAACCCTGTGATAGAGCCCAGCAGACCAGGGCACTGATAGGTGGTGACCCTCCAGGCACTTGCAGATTCTCTTTCAGGTGATCACAGGAGCTAAGATGAATTCGGCCTGGGCCCAGGGAGGCCTTTTGGGAGGTAGTTTTGGGGTGGGAAGTTATCCAGGACATGTGAGGGGCACCATGTAGAAGGGAGAAGGGCCTGTTTCAAGGTGGGCAGCTGCTGCAATCCACACTGGGTCTGGGTGCTGTACAGATCAGGGTGAGGGGTCAGGTGCTGCAGGACCCTAGGAGCCTTCTGGGCCTGGATCACTGGGCAGTTGGGTGTCTGTGAGGGCTTTCAGCTGGGCCTGCGCTGGTTTGCCTGTGCACCCACCTGCAGAAAGGATGGAGGTGGGTCTGAGAGTGACCTGGAGGCTGGATAGAGGTCAGATGGACCAGCTGCAGTTGCCCTGGATGATGCTAAGCATCAAGCTGGGTAGAAGATGGAGGAGGGAAGTGTTTGGGAACTGAAGGTGGATATTTGATGAAATTGGGGGGTGTGAGTGAGGGGTCAGGTTTTCATAGCTGGAAGATGGAGGCCCTGCACTGAGCAGCACAGAGCAGCTTTAGGGAAGGTGGGGGCAGTGGGAGAGATAGCACTGGTCTGAGGTTCCAAGGGTCTGGAAGCTGAGAAGTGTCCTATAGTGAGGAGAGGTGATATGAGTAGGGTAGAAGGTGGGGGTCACAGAGCCACAGGCATTCTGGGCACCGTGGACACAAATAGGGTGACCTTGGTCAGTGGGAGCTGGGGCAGGGAGTGGATTATGGATAGGAAGATGCAAACCAATGGCGGGGACCAGTGGCTCAGAGAGGACTGGAGGGTAAGGGTTTCTGAGGTCCTAGTGGTCCTTGGGCCAGAACTGCATGCTTGCAGGCGTGGGAGGGAAGCCTTGTTTGGATCTGGGAAACCTGCAAAGGGGGAGAGGGTGGCAGACAGGTGCTGGATTCTCTTTTGAAGCACGTGTCTAAGGAGGCCAGTGGGAGTGGAAAGGGCAAGTGGGAGAGTGTCAGGGAAGTGATTGTTGTTCTGGGGGACAGAAGAGGGCCCACAGAAGACAGGAGGGTGAGTTTACTGAGGGCTGAATCTGCCTCCCCCACCCCCATCCAGGCACCTCCAGTTCTGGTGAGGTCATTGGCAAAGCTGCTTACCCAGGGTGACCTGGAATGCTGGGTCATGGGAGGGGGAGGGTGGAGTCTGGGTGTTCCGGGTCCTGGGGTCTTCAGGGAACCAGTCATCAGGGAAGGTGGGGGGACCCAGTGGAGGGCCCAAAGAGGGGGCTCCCAGTGTCCAGCGGGGGTGCAGTGGGTGTGGAAGAGGGTACCAGGTGACCCAAGGCCTAGAGATGAGCTCAACAGTGATTCTATCCACCCAGCGGTGACAGAGGCCCTGCGGGCACCAGGCAAGATCTCTGGCTGTAGTGGAACCAGGAACCTGCATGACAACCTGTCTGATCTCCGTGCCCAGGTGGCAGCCAACCAGAAGGGCATCCAGTTGGTAGGGGAGCTCATCGGGCAGTATGGCCTAGATGTGGTGCAGGCCTACATGGGCCATATTCAGGTAGGTCTGGGGGCAGGAGGGTAGGAGCGGCACCGTGTCTGCCCCGAAGCAGCTGGGACACCCTCAAGGTGGCATGGCGGGTGCCGAACCCTCTTCCTGCCAGGCAAACGCTGAGCTGGCAGTACGAGACATGCTTCGGGCCTTTGGAACCTCCCGGCAGGCCCGGGGCCTACCACTTGAGGTGACCGCAAAGGACCACATGGACGATGGCTCCCCCATCCATCTCCGCGTGCAGATCAACCTGAGTCAGGTCAGGCCTGGCAGGGAGGGCACCTAGGAATGGCGTCCGGGGAAACTGGCACGCAGCTGGTGACGTCCTCCCGTCTTCCGCCCGCTGGCAGGGTAGTGCGGTGTTCGACTTCACCGGCACTGGGCCCGAGGTGTTCGGCAACCTCAACGCCCCGCGGGCCATTACGCTGTCCGCCCTCATCTACTGCTTGCGCTGCCTAGTGGGCCGCGACATCCCACTGAACCAGGTGGGCCGGGGAGGTGCCCACCCCGGGCGAGGTCACCCTGAGCGTGCCTGGGGGCGAGGTCAGACCACCCCGGCCTGAGCTCGGGGCGGGGGCGCGTCTCTCCCGGAACCAGTGAGGACCCCAGCCCCAACCGCCTCTGAGAACCGCCCACCCACGCGCAGGGCTGCCTGGCTCCGGTGCGCGTGGTGATTCCTAGAGGCTCCATTCTGGATCCGTCCCCCGACGCGGCGGTGGTCGGGGGGAACGTGCTCACGTCGCAGCGCGTGGTGGACGTCATCCTGGGGGCCTTCGGGGCCTGCGCTGCCTCGCAGGTGTGACGCGGCTCTGGGGCGGGGCGGGGCGGGCACGGAGCGAGCGCCCCACCCCCAGCCCCGCGCAGTTACCGCTTAACCCCCGCCAGGGCTGCATGAACAACGTGACCCTGGGCAACGCCCACGTGGGCTACTATGAGACTGTGGCCGGCGGTGCGGGTGCGGGCCCCGGCTGGCACGGGCGCAGCGGCGTGCACAGCCACATGACCAACACGCGCATTACGGACCCTGAGATCCTGGAGAGCCGGTGAGCAGAGCGCGCCGCCTGGGGTTTGCGCAGCCCAGCTGGGGCGGAGTCCGCGCCCGGTTGCACTGAGCGCCTCGCCCCTCGCCCCTCGCCCCGTGCAGGTATCCGGTCGTCCTGCGCCGCTTCGAGCTGAGGCCGGGCTCTGGGGGTCGAGGCCGCTTCCGGGGCGGAGACGGCGTGGTCCGAGAGCTGCTCTTTCGTGAGGAGGCCTGCTGTCGGTGCTGACGGAACGCCGCGCCTTCCGGCCCTATGGCCTCCACGGTGGGCAGCAGCAGCCCAGCCCTTTCCTGTCCGGTTTCCTAAACTCTAGCTGCCAGTCTGCCCTACGCCCCCGCCAGACCGCCTCCACACTCTCCTCTGGGTGTCCCCTAACTACCAGCCCCCGACTCTCTGGTCACTCCGCGCCTTGAATCTGCCTGCAGGAGGCGAGCCGGGCGCACGGGGCTTGAATCTGTTGATTAGAAAGGATGGCCGCACGGTGAATCTGGGCGGGAAGACATCAGTGCCTGTGTACCCCGGGGTAAGGAATGTGCCCTATGCCTTCGCCCCTCCCCCATCGGTCTCCATTCCGGATGGGAAACAGATCAAGAATAACGAAAGAGCGCGTTTAATTTGGCTCCCCGGAGGAAAGAGGGCTGAATCATGGTCCTCTATGGTCCAGAGGGGCGGGTGATGACTGCTGCTCCGACTAGGGAAAGAGCCACGCCTGCACTCAACCCGCTTCTCTCCTCCACAGGACGTGTTCTGCCTTCATACGCCTGGTGGTGGGGGCTATGGCGACCCGGAGGACCCCGCCCCACCGCCGGGTTCGCCCCCACAAGCCCCTGCCTTTCCCGAGCGAGGCAGTGTCTATGAGTACCGCCGCGCCCAGGAGGCTGTGTGAGGGCCGCTACAATAAAGATCCCTTAAGTCGCCCAGTTCTGGGGCACAGCTGCTGGGCCAAACTCCTGCTCCACATGTCTGTGTCACTGGCCGTGCTTGTCGTCTGTGTGCCACTCACTATCAGGAGCACACTGAAACTCGGAGCCTCAGGCCCACGGCCAGGTGGTCGGTGAGCCCTGCCAGGGCAGTACTGAACGTCATCTGCTCCACCTCCTGCAGAGGGACAGGAGTCGGGTTGAGGGGTGGACCCAGTGCCGGCAGGCCCAGCCGCCCCGAACTCTGGCACTTACTGGGCTCAGCAGGTTCCCAGGTGTTCCCCGGTACATGATGTAATCCAGGCGCCGGCCCCGCCAGGGTTTAGCTCGGTATCCATCTTGAGGAGGGCCTGCTAGGTAGAGGTGGCGCCCTTTCTCCTCCTCCAGAGCCCTGGGAGCAGCGGTGTCACCAAGGTCAGGACATCCCTCCCAGCTGGCCCAGGCACTGTCTGGCTCCCAGGACTCCACTCACCTCCGCAGCATCTCTGGGGAACTGGCTACTGAATGGTGGAGCATGGAGGTGCTCAGTATGGTCCCTGTGCAGGCCCAGGAGGGCAGAATTAGCAGGACCCTTGCAGGTCAGCCTTCCCTGGGCCCCCGCTTCCTACTCTGCTCCCTACTCTCCAGACATCCTACCCAGGGCCCAGGGCTGCTCCTGGCGGGTGCCCAGCCGGCACGGGTCGTGGAAGCAGCTGAAGAGTTTGTGTCCCTGCTCCTGCACAAAGTCTGTGGAGAAAACCAGGGGGTCGGTGGGCGAGGCCAGGCCTCTTGGTCCCGCCCTGTCCCAGCTTCTCCTCACCTTTAGAGCAGTTGTCAAAGTTCAAGTCTCCCAGGAGCACGCTGAAGGCCACCTTCTCACCACTTTGTCTGCTCTCAGCCTCAAACTGCTCAGCCCAGTCCAGCAACAGCGTCAGCTGTTTGCAGCGCAAGCGCCCGTCCTCTACAGGGTTCAGGGGTGTGCAGCCAGGCTCAGCCCAGGGTGCGAATTTGCATCTTGGACATCCGGCTTCCCACCATGTTCTGATCTGAACCCAACCAGGCTTTGCCTGGGACAGTGAGCAGTAGCAGGTGGGGAGCAAAGATGCTAGAGTAGGGACCTGCTACCGCCAAGGAAAGGGGACATTCCAACAACACCTGCAGGGCTCACCAGTTGGTGCATGCAAGTGCGTGCAATGCAGGAATCCCACGACGCGGTGCCCATCCAGGACGCCCAGCTGCGCCTGCAACACCCCCCACAGTCCCAGGTCTCCTTGCCTGCTTGACCCAGTGTACCTTCCCTCCCGGAACAGGGCACACTGCAGCCAGTTGACCGATACCTGTACGGACAGTAGGCCCTTGGAGGCCAGCGCGTCTTCACGACGCGCATTCGGGAAGCAACGGAAAGTGGCACGCAGCAGTGGGTAGCGCGAGGCAAGTAGGAGCCCGCTACCCAGTAATTTGAGATACGGCCCGGGCTGTAGTCCAAGTGTGCCCACGTCGTGCAGCACTGGGCCCAGATTCGGCGACAGGCGGCGCACCAGGCGATGAGCCGCGCGGAGGTCAAACACCTCCTGCAGGCACACGAAGTCCAGACCCACAGGCAACGTGGCCATCAGCACCCCATCCGGCCCCCCAGGCAGAGGTTGGCTGCTGCCGGTAGCCCCATAGAGTGAGGGCCGCATGCTGGCCAGCAGCGCCCTGCCAATGGCCTCGGCGCGCCGCTGGCTGTGTGACAGGTTGTTGAAGCGCGCCAGTCCGTCGGGTAATAGGCACAGATTTGCAGTGAGAAAAACAAAGCAGCGCACGGGCTCAGCGGGAGGCTGCCAGGGAGCGGGCGGCACCCAGCCTATCGGAGGGGGCTGGTAACAGAAGGGGCGGCGCCAGGCCTGCAGCGGCAGCCAGAGCAACAGACCAGGCAGCGCCAGGGGCAGGCCGACCAGCAGCAGCAGCAGCAGCAGCGCCCCACCGGTACCCGCCGCGGCTCTCACCCGCCCCAGACTGCCGGGGCGCGCCATTGGTGCCCAGCAGCCCAGCAACTGGTCCAGAGACCAGTAGGCTGGGAAGAGCAGCACGCGAGCCATGCTGTGGAGAGAATGCAGAACCGGGTGCGGGAAGGGCGAGGGCCGCAGGGCCTCGGGCACCGGGGGCCAGTCGGGTGGGGATTGCATTGCGCACGGGGCTCCTTGCGAAAGGTCCGAGTGACTCAATTCACTCGAGTCCACGCGAGCTGCAGGGGTGTAGTGGGGCAAGGCCACGTGTCACAACCTGTGCGCTGTGCCTGACGAGCTTGAGGGTTCGGCAGCGGTTGGACAGAACAAAAGGGAAAGCGAAAGGGACCCTGGCCTTGCAGCTCCGCCCTAGATCCTCCTGCTCTGCCTTAGGCCACCTGAGGAAACCGAGGGCCCCGCCCCACGCAAGCGGGATCTGGAGTGCACGTGCACCCCTTTTGAGCGTGGGCCCGCGCAGCGCTAAGAGCGGTAAGCCCTGCAAGGCCGTCCTCAACCCCACACCTTCCGACCCGGCAAGGCATCCTGGCTACCCACAGGGCGGGCTCCAACGCGCCCCCGCCCGTCTCCCGCGGCCCGCCGGCGTGTGACGTCTAAGTGCAAAGACCAGTGGGAGATAGACTCGGAGCCGCCTAACAAGAGTATGGCAAAATTCCCCGCGACGACTGGCCTGCAGTGGTGGTGGTCCTGTGATCCTACTCCAAAGAGCTTCCAATCTGCGGGGAAGGACCGTTGGCTCCGCCCTTCGAGGCCGCTTGGCGGCGCACGCGAGCCAGGTGGAAGTCAGTCCCCTATTCCATTTGCCTTCTGGCACTGGCTGGCTCTTGGTTCCTTGGACAATGTTGCCTGAAGCTCCCAGGCGGGTCTCCTTGACCCGTACCTTTCTAATTCCAGATGTGAGGCAGCACCGCCCCTCGCCACACACACACCACACCATTCCTTCCTCCCACCAGTTGGGTACCAGTGCCTCTTAAATTGTCCTGAGGATTTGGGTCAGGGCTGCCCTTCCTCACCCAGATTGCTAGGCTGCTCTCTGGGTGGAGTCCTTCCTTGCCATTCCTAGGGGTTGAGGAAGAGACTGAGCTGGATCCTCTGATGTCTGGGGAGAGCTGGGTGTGCAGAGGGTAGAAGGTAGCAAGCTCTAGGGATCTGAGTATCCCTGCTAGAGAGTCCCAGCCCAGCCCACTCTATCTCTGGACCCCTCACTGGTTGCTGACTTTGTACCCTGTGGCTTTTCCATTCCCTGACTGGCAAGCACTGAGACCCTCCTCACCCCTCCCATCACAGCCCTGGCCTCTGCACCAGCCCTCAGGCAGACACTGTCCTTTTCTGTCTTGTGGGTCTGAGGCCATTGTGAGCTTTCCCAGCTGCTCTTCTCTCCTCAAGCACCCCGTCCCCCAAAGCATCCTGATCCACACCCCTCAGCTTCCTGCACTGCCACAGAACTTCCCTTCTCAGTTTACAGGTCACTTCCAGCATCCCTTCCAACCCCTCATTCCACCTTTCTCCTCCCATCCAACTTGTATTTTGCCCCTGGACAGCTCTAAATCCCGATGTCCAGGTTGCCAGAATCCTGTGAAGGCCTCTTCTCCCCAGGCTGTGGGCATCTTGTGAAGGGGCTTCAATCTCCCTGGCTGCCCCCCCGCCCAGATTTAGGTGAGGCTGCTTTCTGGGTCTCCTCCATCTCCTGCTCTCTTGCCTTCAAGATCCTGAAGTTCCCCAACTCCTAGTCCCCTCTTGCCTGCGTCTGCCTTCCGGATTCTTACTCCTCGTGCTCCAGGCTTCAGAGCTCCTGCTGTTCCCCTCACCAAGGGAGGGGGACCCGGGGTCTTCTTCCAAACCCCTCAGCCAGACAGCTCCTGAGCCTTGATGTGGGGACCCAGAGTGAATGTGGGCCACCAGGACAGGTAGGACTGAAAGGGTCTCATACAGAGGGTCCAGCGAGCCACCTGACAAGAGGCAGTACCCAGAAGTGTAGCATGGGCTCAGTGGCTAGCGTTTGTGGGAAACTTTAGTGGCCACGCACAGGGGTGCAGGGCAGAGCGAGCCTGGGCCAGCCTGGCACCAGCGTTACCAGATGAACATGGGCTTGCCATCGTCGTGCGACAGCTGGTTGAGGCACGAGAGCAGTAGCAGTGCATCTGTGAGCATGCTGGGATGCACGGTCTCTACCAGCACACGCTGCAGGAAGTCCACAGTATAGGAGCCACCTTCCGACGCGGCCAGCTCGGGCCGCTCGCGCAAGATGCCATAGGCGTTCACCAGCTGCTCTGTCAGTGCTGGGTGCACGCGTCCGTTGTAGCCCAGACTCTGCAGCCTGTTCATGATGCTCACGTAGCGCTGCGTGAGTGTCTGGCACAGCTCCTCGTCCAGCTTGTGGTCATTGGGGTTCAGGGAGGCCTATGGGGAGGCAGAACGTCACAATGGCAGGCAGGCGAACAGAGGGGCAAGAGAGGCTGAGGGAGGCTGACCACCACTCAAGGGGGTGCACAGGGAAGATGTGTTGTGGGGAGGGGAACCCAGGAGGCTGAGCTGAGGGTGAAACCCCCAAGGTCCAGCCCAGGCAGGCCAGTGGCTCCCTGAAAGCTCCCAGGACACCTCATCTTTCTCGTCTGCTTCATCTACTACCAGGATGGCTGAGGCCACCAGGGACTGAGAATAGGGAGCAGAGCTGGAAACATAGAGGCACAGGAAAAATGGGGGGGGGGCTTCATACTCCCAGGATTGCCTGATCCCTGGTCTTTCCCAGGAGTCAAGGGAAAGCTCTTCACCTGAAATGACAGACGCTGACAGTGGCTCGCCTCGCTTCTGTTGGAGCACTGTGAGGGTCTTCCTGAACATCACTTTGTGCTGGTTCCCCTCCCTGCTCCCTCTCAGCCTGATCACCTCAGTCAAGCACTCTTGACCCCAGCACTCCGGGTTTTGGCCCCCCTCACCTGCTGGCATGGTGCCTAGACCTGGGGATTGGCCTCCACCCACTTCCTTATTACCAGGGCCCCAAGTCAGTCTGTGTCTGCACCTCCAGACTGAAATACTCTTAACTGCTTGACATTTCTGTTGTACTAGTTATCAAATATTTTTTAAGGCAGTACTGGGGTTTGAACTCAGATCTCTGCGATTGTCAAGCAGGTTCTGTGCTGTTTGAGACATGCCTCCAGCCCTATTTGCTTTTGTTATTTTGGAGATAGGGTCTTGTCTTGCCAGCCTGGACAGCAATTTCTTTTTTACACTTATTGCCTTCACTGGAATGACAGGCATACCACCTTGCCCAGCTTTTGCAGTTGAGATGGGGTCTCATGAACTTTGTTTTTTAGCCTGGGCAGACCTTGAACGATGGTATTCCTGATCTCAGCCTCCCAAGTAGGTAGGATTACAGGCTTGAGCCACTGTGCCTGGCTGCTTTGTTATGTGAGTTGAGCACCTACTTACTCTATTTTTTAAAATTTATTTCCTTTGTTTTCAAATGAGTACACTTAAGGGCTAGGGGCACAGCCCTGAGTTCTCACCCTACTACTGCCAGAAAAATCGATCGGTTAAAAAATAAAGTAAATAAATATGTTTAGGAGAATGATGTCCTTTCTCATTGGGGAGGAGTGTGGCTCAACTGCCTAACAATTGCAGAGATCCGAGTTGAAACCCCAGTACTACCAAAAAAAAAAAAAAAAAAGCTTAGGTTACTTAGTGAGACAAAAACAAACCCAAACAAATAAAACTCAAAGTGGACTAACAGAAGCCTAAAGAAGGAAAACAAAGAGCAGAAGTTAGGAAGCAGACTTCAAAGGATCAGTCGGGAAGACCAGCAAAACAGAATTGGGCAAAAGCAGGTGGATGTCACCAGAGAGTCAGGGCAGAGATGGCGACCTGTTGGGGTCAAGAGTACCTATCTTTGAGTAACAGACTCCCAGCCAGGCCACACTTCAGCCATTTTGCTAAGAGACCCTGCCTGTCATCGAGTTCCAGCTAATGGTGTGAGACTGCTTAAAGCTCCATGCCCCGGGTACCGAGCTCTGTCCCCAGACAAGTCCCACAACTTGTGGGCCCAGACACTTGAGAAGGGTACACAGTCAAGATGAGGCCCAATCCTTGCATGGCTGTCGCTGCACTTTGCTGTGGTCTTTAACTACAAAAGAGCCAAGGTAGAGCAAATGAGCATCTCTGCACTAAACAGCACCGGGGATATGGTGTGGTTTACTCAGAAATGCTTCTGACGTATATTAAGAGGTAAGGGGTGGGGAGAACCTTAGGTGACTTCTCAATGGGAAAGACTACTCTAGAAAATTTGGTATTCGTGAAAAAACAAAACTCTCAACAAACGAGTTGAGGGAAGCTCTTGATTGGCAGACACTCCCATTGGCTCACCTCGCTTCTGAACTGGCACTGTCTGTGGCTTCCTGAACATCAATCACCTTTTCCAGACTTCTCTGCAGCCAAGGTTACACGTGGATGGGTGGGTGGGACTTGCATGTGGAGTGAGCTCCTGAAGGAGGTGGTGCATGCTGGGGAGCAGGTCTTCAGGAGCTCCATGGGTATAGTACCAGTTCTTCATGGACATCTGTGCCTGACTGAGGGTGTGTGACTGGTGTCTGCGTGCTGCCCATGGTGTGCCCACTAGGAATGACCCTTAATGTGCTGGCATTTTTCCAGGCAGCACAACACACAAGCCAATGTTTTTGTGTGTGGTTGCTGGAGCTTCCCTGACCACATGAACATTTGCCTCAAACCCTATTTCTATTTACATCAGTGGATTCTGTCGTCTGCAACCAAGCACACTGGCCGATTTGTCTTAAGATCCATTGACTAGGCTGGAACACACTTCATAATAGGGAGATCAGTGTTCCTTGCCAAAGCTGATACAGGAAAAGTTGCTCATATGATCTTATGCTTTTAAATACCTTCCCAAGAACCTAGTAATCTGAGATATTACAAGGAAATGAAATTTAGGGCTAAGTGTGTGGCTTAGTGGTAGAGCTCTTGCTTCACATGCATAAGGCTGGGTTTGATCCCAGCCCTGAAAAAGAGAGGGAGAGGGAAAGGGAGACGGAGAGAAGGGGCAGAAAGGGAAGGGAAAGAGCTGACTAGGTATGTCTAACCCAATTACACAATGCATACATGCATCAACACACCACGTACCATTCCATTAATACATATGACTTTTACATTTTTATGTATCAGCATATCAGTTTTATAATATCAATATTTTAAAAATAAAGTTAATTTTAAAATGGAATAGGAAAGAGCTGCAACTGTCTGTAGACAAGATCAATGTTTGCAAAGGAAAACAAAGACAGCATACCAGCTATTAGAACGACTTAAGTGTTTGGCAAGGTGACTGGATACCAAGTCACTACCAAAAATCAAAACCAGCTAGAAGAGTAACTCAAGTGGTAGAGTACCTGCCTAGTAAGCATGAGGCCCTGAGTTCAAGCCTCAGTACTGCCAAAGACAAACACAAAAATAGTTAAGCAATAGTTAAGCAATAGGTGGCAGGGACCCAGCTGGTTACCAATTACCACCTGCCACCCTGGCACTGCCCTTGTCTCCCTCACATGGACTTGACTGGACTTAAGGTCTCTGAGGACTAGGGAACTGAAAAGAAAGGTGCTCAGAACATCTGCAGAGAACTTTGCACCTGGGTAGACAGGGTGACTGGTGTGAACACAGGGGCCTTTTACTTGGGCTTAAAAGATGGTATAACTGTCTTTGAACTCTCATCAAACAATAGGGCTCAATTAAAGCTTCTCAGTGCAGTGGACTAAACTGCACAGCATGACAAAGCATTGGCACTGACTGGGCCAGTATCAGGTTTGACCAGTTTTAGCAGGTCTGGGTAGAATTTAGGAATTCTAGCAACCACTAACACTGGAGTGCAGAAAAAAACAAGATATTTTGAGGAAGGAAAATCAAAGGCTGGCAAAGTGAAAATACATGCAGGTGTGATCAACAAATGCCCTAGGGCAGTAAGGTGATAGCCTTGAGGCCAGGAAGCAAACTTTGAGGACTTTCAGATGGGAAGGATTTTTTTTTTTTTTTTTTAGGCTTGAACTCAGAGCTTTGCCCTTGCTGTATCACTGGAGCCACTCTACCAGCTCTTTTTTGTAGTCAGGTATTTTTCAGATAGGGTCTCTGGCTTCTAACCAAACACCTCCTGATCTCTGCCTCCTGAGTAGCTAGGATTACAGGTGTGAGCCACAGGGCCTGGTGGAAGGATTTCTTAAACAAGACAGGATGAGAACAAGCAATAAGGGCAAAGGTTGACAATTCTGACCACATTAAAATTAAATACTTAACCAAAGGATGCTTCAGCCAAAGGAAAAGGCAAACTCAAACTGGACCCAGAATCACTCCATGTGACCAAAGGCCATTCCTGCCCAAATTACACACAGATGTCTGCAATCTATAAAGGCGACCTGAGAGAAACAGTGGAAAGCCATCTTCCCAAGAGAAGCCCAAACGGCTGATAAGCACGGATGTAGCCCCACCCTTGTTGGTGGGGGAGCAGCTCACAAGGTGCTCATTCTGTATTCCTTATGTGTGCATATGGTACTGGGGTTTGAAATCAGGGCTTCGAGCTTGTTGGGCAGGTGCTCTTCCTCTTGAGTCACACTTCCAGCTGGTGCTCCTTCTGGACAAAGCTGCTCCATGGTGTCCAGCCCCGCCTCCCTCCTCAGTGCCTTCTACAGCTTGTCATACATGGTGGCACAGAGACCTGCTCCAGCATGTTTTTGGAAGCCCTGTCCTCCAGTCCTTCTGTGGGAGGAGGCCAAGCGGATGCATTCTGAAACACTGGGCCTCGGGTCCCAGTGACAAGACTGCCACATAGTTGGTGGCTCTGGATCTGTGTTCCCTGTGGTCCCCACTGATCCTTGAGGGTACCCATGGAGTTGGGTGAGTGTTGGCTGTGACAATCTGGGGAGGGCCACCACGTTTGCAAGCTGTTGACCCAGCTCTTGAGGGTTAGGGCTGCCCACTGGAAGCTGTTGTGGTGGCAGAGAGGCAGAGCCACCTGCCCATGCTCAGAAACCCCCCCCCCCACTACCCTTCTCTGGGGAGGCTGTGGGACTCCCACTACCCCTGGATACCTGCTGGCAGCTTGGCCTGACCCCTGGGCTCCCTCCGTCCTAGGGTCCCCTTGGATTCCAACATGTTTAGCCTGAGGGAAGGGCAGGCCCCCCCCAGTGCCCAGTGGCCTCCTACGGGAGAGCACACTGCCCCTCTCCCCCCGCAGTCGCTGTGGCAGTGTGTGGGAGGGGGCAGCCACGAACCTGGATGATCTTCTCCGGAATGTTGGAGACAGTGAAGCCGTAGAGGCGCACGCGCTCGGGGAAGATGCTGGACAGGATCCTGCGGTCCAGCTGGAAGGCGATCTCCCCCACCAGCCTCTCCAGGCCAGCTGCTTTGACTCTGGGGAGGACCGAGGGTCTCAGCTGAGCCACAGGCCGCGGCAGGGGGGTGGGGGTGCGGACTCACGCGGAACCACTGACCTCGGGAGCCGTCGGGACACTTGCCAGTCTTGCGGTGCGCCATCTTCCGCTCCAATTCCAGCACGCTCTTCCGAGAGGGCTCCGTGGCGCGCGAATTCCGGTTGTCGTTGACTGAAGCCGGAGAGGACGAGGTGCGAGGCGGGGAGTGGGGGTTGTGCGGAGGACGGGGGGTAGGCAAAGGCCGCGGGGGGGACTGCTGGGCCCGGGAAGGGGGGTGAGTGGTTCTGGCAGCAGCTTGGGGGGCAGGCGTGGGGGCGGGGGCGATGACTGTGCCAGCAGAGGAGGCTATTAGGGACTTGGGGACAGAGGCAGGGCCCATTTGTCCCTGGGGAGCACCGGGCTGGGTCTGGCCATCCGGGGTGCCGTAGGAGAAGGCTGTTGTGAGAGTGGGTGTGGCCATGGTGACCGTGGGGGTGGAAATCTGAAGGGGTGCACCCACAGACGCCATGCTGAGGGACTCTGGGTCCTGGGTCGGCTGGGGGTGCTCACTGGAGAGTGTGACTAGTGGTGTGGGGGGGCAGAAATGAGAGGGGGTTAGAGTGAGGCAGAATGGGAGCAGGGATTGGCCTCCCCAGGTTGCCCCATTGCCCTTGCCCTGCACCCGTTACCTTTGGGGGTGGCAGCCGGCCCTGCATTGGCTGAGGAATGGGGCCCAGAGGGGCTTCCTCGGAACTGCTCTGCCAGCCGCACCCTCGGGGCCTCCGGCAGCACCAGGTTTTTCATGGGGTTGGGCACAAGGTTCTGAGAAACACCTAGAGGGGCAGCCGTGGAGGAGAGCAGGGGGCTGCTCAGAGAGACAGCCACTGTGCCTGCCATAGGGGCCATAAGGGGGCTGCTCTGAGACATGGCCAGGGGGCCTGCCAGAGGGCTGCTTGGAGTCAAGGAGCCAGTTGAGGTCAGGCCTAGGGAGCTGGTCATGGTGGCCCCAGGGGGTACGGCCATGGGACTGGTCAGGTGGCCAGGTAGGGTGCCCCCAGGGGATACTGCCATGGGGCTGGCCAGGTGGCTGTTCATGGGGGTGGCCAGGAGATTGGTGAATTGGCCATTCTGCGACATAGGCACTGGGCCAGACAGCAGTGAGTTGATAGGGCCTGCCAGGGGGCTCACGAGGGAGCCTGCTGTAGGGCTGATCTGTGGGCTGTTCAGCACATCCGCCAGGGGAGTCAGGGCCATGACCCCCACATCTTCCAGGACTGGTTCATTTGCTGCTGCTGGGGATGGGGGCAGGAAGACACCTGGGGGATACAGAGAGAGCACTGAGACCCCAGGTGGGGCCCCCCTCCAGGATCAAGAAGGAGGCAGTCAAAAAAGAAGAAAGAAAGAAAAGAAAAAGAAAGGAAGAGAGTCAAAGGCTCCCCTGTCCTGGCAGGACCTGGCCAAGGAACCTGTCTGCCTCTGACCAGCTGGCTGGTCTGACCTGAATGAACTCTCTGAGCCTTAATTCTTAGTTGGGCAGAGTGACACCCTGCCCCCGAGGGTGTCAGTGGGGCAACTACAGGACATTCCATGCCCACTTCCAAGTGTCCCAGGTGTGGGTCTGCCCTCTTGTCTCTCACTTCCCAGGGCCTCCTATCCAGCCCTGATTCTCTAGTCAATCCTCCCAGAATCACTTCTCTGACCCCTAGCCCTTCAAGCCACAGGACGTCCCCTTAATCCTCCCCTCAGCTGCACTGAGAAGAAGGGTTCCTAGCACCTGGTGGTCAAGTTGGCCCTTCTGTTCTCATCTTTGTGGGGAGATAGACATCCTACTGGGTAGGGCAGCCCCAGGTGGCAGAGTGTCAACAGGCTGAGCCTCACATGGCCCATAGCTCACAGTCTACTTGAACGGAGAATCCGGGTGTATGAAGGCAGGTTGGACCCAGCCATGCACCCAGATAGGCCGATTCTCCATGAGTTCTGGAGGAGGCCTCTCTTGAACGGCCATATTTGGGGGAAAAGCCCCTTGGCAGGCACAGTTGCTAGAGGGGGGAAGGTTTTGGGGAGTATGTCATTTAACTGAAAACTTCCACTTTGGAATCCTCCCCCTCTTTTTTCCCCCAATTTGTGGTGCTGGAGATGGAACCCAGGGTCTCCTGCATGCTAGGCAAGCCCTACCCTTGACTTAAACTCCCAGCTCCTGAAAACCTGTGCTTTGTTGTTGTTATAAAAGCAGTACATGCTTGTTTTGGGAGGAGAATGAAAATGCAGAAGGGTAAAAACTGATAGTCACTATTAAAGAGCTCCTTGTTGCCTTGGAAATGCTTTCTAGGTGTTTGCACAGATCAGGACTTGCAAGCATTTTTTCTGTAAAGGGTCAGGTAGTAAACATTTCCAACTTTACCAGCTACATGTTCTCTGCCAGAACTGCTTAATCTCCACCCTAGTGTAAAAGCAGGCAAAGAAAGCTCAGAAGCTAATGACTGAGGATGTGCAGCAATAAAATTAATTTTATAGACACTAATTTTTGAATTTCATGTACTTTTCATGTGTCACAAAATAGTATTCTCTTCTTGTCTTTTTTTAAACTTTCTTTTAGGGGGGTGGGGGTCTTTTGAAGTAGGATCTTGCTATGTAGCCCACTAGCCTCAAATTCTCCATCCTCCTGCCTCAGCCTCCTGGGTCCTGGGGTTACAGGCATGTACCACCATGCCTGGATTTTATTTTCTTTCCAGGATTTCAAAATGAAAAATCTATTCTTTTTGTTTTTGTGGTACCAGAGTTTGAACTCAGGGTCTCACACTTGCTAGGCAAGTGCTCTACCCCTTGAGCCACTCTGCCAGCCCAGAATCCATTCTTAATTCACAGGATTTGTACAAACGCAGTGACTGCCTTCTGGGAAGATGGCTGATATGGAGGGATTGGCCAGTCAGGGCCAAAAGGGTCAGATGGGCTGGATGGACTTCCACAACCTCCCCAGAGGAAAATGGCCCAATCTGAAGTTTGGACAAGTTGAATTTAAAATAAAATCAATAAACAGATCAGGAACTGGTTGCTCATGCCTGTAATCCTGGCTACTCAGGTGGCAGAGATCAGGAGGATCACAGTTTGAAGCCAGCCCCAGGCAAATAGTTCAAGAGATCCTATCTCAAAAAAACTCACCACAAAAAAGGGTTGGCAGAGTGGCTTAAGCGGTGAGTATCTGCCTAGCAAGTATGAGGCCCTGAGTTAAAACTCCAGTGCTCCAAAAAAAAAAAAAAAAATCAGTAAGCAGTACAAAGAAGGTAGGTACCCTTATGACCACAAAGGATGCAACTCACAGAAAGTAAAACCAAAATATATATGTGAAATATATACAGTGAAAACCACAGGGACTTCCAGGAAGTTCTGAATGGTAACTGTACCCAGATCCAGAACGGAAGGACAATGGCTCAGGGATACGGATGACATAATTAAGGAAGTCAATCTAGTACACACCAGAGGGATTCAACAGCACCTCTGAGAAGGCTGAAGAAAGGATCAGAAAGCTGAAACTAAATCCATCAAGGTTATCCAGTCTGAGGAATAGGAAGAAAAAACTGAACAGAGCTTAAGCTATGTGACACCGTCAAGCATATCGCCACACACACACACACGATGGGAGTTCTGGAAGAACAGGAGAAAGAGAAAGGAGTAGAAAAATGTTTGAAGAAATAATGTCTGAAAGCCTTCCAAATTTGGTGCAAGACAGGCATCTACATATCAAAGAAATTCAATGAACTCCAGGGAGGAAAAACTCAGAGATACACGCTGACATCCACTGTAATCAAATCTTTCCGTGTACTTTTTTTTTTTTTCTGGCAGTATTGGGGTTTGAACTCAGGGCTTCATGCTTGCTGGGCAGGAACTCTACCACTTGAGCCGCTCTGGCATACACAACAATCTCCAGCACTGAAAGAGAAAAGAATCCTTTTCCCCGTTTTCTTTCTTATTTTATTAGCATATATTTGTTGTACGAAGGGGTTTCATAGTGGTATTTCCATACAGGCATACAATGTGCTTTGACCCAAAACACACCCTCTGTTACTCTTTCTAAAAAATTTTAAAATGTTTCATTACTTTATTATCATCCGTGTGTATAAAGTACTTTGATCATAGAATCTTGGCAGCATGAGAGAAATGACTTACAAGATACAAGGGCTCTATAAGACTATCAGCAGGCTGGGCATTGTGGCATTTGCCTATAATCCCAACACTTAGGAAGCTGATGCAGGAGGACAGCAGTTGGAGGACAGTCTATGTCACATAGTGAGACACTGTCTCAAAGAAACAAACTGACCGGCTGACTCACAGCAAATTTGTCATCAGAAACTGAGGCCAGAAGGCAACAGCATGACGTTAAAGTCCTGAAAGAAGAATTCGATATCCTACAAAACTACCCTTGAAAGTTAAGAGAAAAATTAGGACATTCCTAGATAATCAAACGCTAAGGACATTCATTGCAAGCAGACCTGCCCGTAAGAAATGCCAAAGGAAGTTCCTCAGGCTAGAATGAAAGGAAACCAGACAATAACCAGACAGCCATATGTGGAAATAGAGCCCACAGTGAGCTGGGCACCGGCGGCTCATGCCTGTAATCCTAGCTACACAGGAGGAATGAGGTGTGAAGCCAGCCTGGGCAAACAGGTTGTGAGACCCTATCTCAAAAGTACTCAACACAAAACAGGGGTCGAGCGCCTGCCTAGCAAGCGTTGAGGCTCTTTAACCTGCCATTTACCTATGTGATTTAAAGGACAAATACACAAAACAGTGATAATAAATATATGCTAATAGATACACAATGTGTAAAGATGCAATTTGTGTCGATAGCAGCACAAAGGGAGTGGGGTTCATGCCTGTGATACTAGCTACTTGGGAGGCAGAGATCAGGAGGATCACAGTTTGAGGCAAATAGTTTGAGAGACCCTATCTCCAAAATACTCAACACAATAGGGTTGGTGAGATGGCTCAAGTGGTAGGGCACCAGCCTACCAAGTATGAAGCCCTGAGTTCAAACTCTAGTACTTGAAGGGGAGCAATGACAGATGTGACTCCATTTTGGAGAGAGGCACTTTAGAGGCAAACATTTTCAGAGAAATAACGAGCCTCTCACCAAAGTAACAAGATGCAGCTGCACAATGTGGGGAGTGGGCCCAAGGCCAGGCCGAGTTGGGCAGGTTTCCAGGCCCAGGATGTGCTGACCAGACCCTCCTGGAATGTTCAGTTCCATAGAAGAAGAACACACAGGTGGTCAGATTTAATGAGAAGCTGACTCGGTGCCAACCAATCACAAATACAGTTTGAAGGTAGAATAGTGGGACCTAAGCCAGTTAGTGGCCTGGCTCAACTCCTAGACTTCAGCTTTTCTTTGGCTTAGCTCTTTCACTAAGCTCCACTCATCAGGGTGCTTTGCCATCCTTTCAATAAACCTTGTGCTTGCTTTAACTCTTAACTCCTGGTCCAGGGTCTTCAATTATCAACTAAGCCAGGACTCAATCTTAGGAACAACACTCCAGTATCAGTACCACCAAAAATAAAAAATAAAGACATAAAAGGGAGGACGGAGCTATACGTTATTTGCGTACTGTATTATATTCCCATGTTCATAAGCTTGGTTGCTTGAAACTGGATTGCTATAAAGTTCAAATAATGTCCAGGGTAACCACTAAGAAAATAACTAAAAAATAAAAAAGACACGAGAAGGAATAACAGAAAAATCAATTAAACAGGGAAAACAGTAAAGGAGAAACTGAGAAACAAGTAAGACAAAGGACATACAGAAAAACAGCAAAATGTTAGAAATAAGTCTTTCTTTTAGGACATTCTTATAGGAATGTCTTTGAATAGATTAAAATCTCCAATCAAAAGTCAGAGATTAGCAGAATGGATAAATAAAACCAACCAAACACCCCCTCTAAAAGCTCATGATTGAACTACATGGAGACTTGTTTTAGATCCAAAGTCATGGATAGTTGGAAAGTCAAAGAATGGAAAAATAGAAAAAGAATCCTATGCGAGTTGTAGCCAAAAGAATGCTGTGTAGCTAGCTATACTACTAGCATATTTTAATTAATAGAATTTAAATAAAAATGGCTACAAAAAGCAAAGAAGGACATTATATACTAGTGAAAGGTTCAGTACAGCAAGAAGACATATTTGTGCACTTAACATACCTTCAAAATACATGAAGAAAAAAAAAACATATATGAAGCAAAAATTCACAGAATTGAGCCAGCCGCCAGTGGCTCACACCTGTAATCCCAGCTACAGCAGGCATCGATCAGGAGGATTGAGGTTTAAA